ATCAATGATGATCGGCGAAAGAGGTGCAGAGTTAGTGAAAGAAGACTATGATAAGTAAAGAAGTAATGATTTATAGAGCTTCAAATAGTCGTTGCCGTAACATAATTTAATGGTTGGTGGTATTTAAAAAAAAAGTAACCAAATAAAACGAAAGACAGTAGAAAGTATATTACAGTTTTTTACATTACATTATAGTTTATTACAGTTATAGCCTTGATTTATCGCGGCTATGACTGTAATAAAGAGCCTAATTAAAATGACTCAAAGCCATATAATAAAGTCATTGCTGTTACAAAAATACAAAACAATAATGGGTGGTGGCATTCAAAAAAATTTAGAAACAATAAAACAGAACGACTGCCACGTGACGTGGTTCCCGGTTAGGACCAAACGTTTGTATGATCTGCAAATATTTTTTCGGAGTTTGGGTATTATTGTACGTATTGCATCTACTGTATATGTATGTATGTACTAACATTAAAAGGGTATAAGAATTCTATCAGTCAATCTAGATTTCATAGTACAAGCTCTGCTTAGTTTGAAACTAGATGACGTTGTGTAAAATGTCCGAATTTATTATTATTCCCTTTATTACATTATATATATATATTTTTAAAATACATTTACGTTTTTAAATATATTACAAAAGAAATACAAATACATTTAAAAATAAATAGATAATGGATCGATCCCAATTCAACGTGGCCAGACCATTCTCGAGAACTGGGTCGATCACACACCTGTAATATGGCACCTATTCACAAGTTGGTTTTTAAGGGCAAGCTATTGGTGTACGATCTTGGCTACTTGGTTATGCCTATGCAAATATTCACCGTTAGCGAGACGAGAACATCCAGAAATAATACACGACAAATGTCAACCATACCACCTTTCAGTATATATTGCGCATAGTTATTCAGCAGCATAACTTCGTCCATAATCGCACAAACAAAACCTTTACTTTCTCCGAAGAGATCACTATACCGTAGCCAAGTCGTAGATGCTTTTAAGTCTATATCTTATACTTCCCTGCGATCATTAGTACCAAGTACTACAGGTTTGCGCCAATTCTCTTTAGCCAGAGCAAGCAGAGTGAATCAGGTATCCACTGCAACTACACTGCGATGCACTCCCGCATCAGTATGTAGAAAATATTCTCTGAGATGGTTTATCTCGCGATTGTGTAGGGTCTTGATATTTAATAGTCCGCGACCCCCAAACTTTCGTGGGATATCACATCATCATCATCATAACCGATGAACGTGGGTGGTGTATTCGGAATGCAGTCCAGTCAAGGACATCTGATTCGGTCTGAGTACACCAAAGTAATACATCAGAACCAGCATGACCCAACGGTGGACGGCAGGTCTCGCATGTTGTTGTACCCTGATAAAAGACTTTTAAGTACTTTTGTTAGGTGGCCAAAAAAATCGTTCCTGCAACGTTTGTTTCATGTCAGATTCTGGTATTCCCAAAGACTGATATACCTAAACACTTGTACGTTTCAGTGTAAGAGAAAGATATGAGTTTTATTGAATCTGAAAGCTCTATTCCTTCAGTTTCTACTATCATGCCCTTCTTTACATGCACACTTGTCTCCACCGAACTCCATCTTGATATTACTAAACTTTTCTGTAACCTTTAGAAACGTTGTCAATTGTAATTTAGTAAGGGCTAGTAGTTTCAAATCATCCATATAAAGGAGGTGAGATATAACTTGATCATCTTGTTGCAACCTTTAGCCTAACCCTGGACCCTCTAATAGAGTGATGAGAGGGTTCAAAGCCAAACAAAACCAAAAGGGACTCAGACTATTACCTTGAAATATACCCTCGACTTTTATTAGAACATCGTTTACCGCAGTCTACCGACATCCAAACTCTTACCTTGCCACTTGTACCATCAGGACCATTAGCCAACAGGTACGACGATTACGACGTACCTGTTGGCTAATGGTCATGTGTATGATTAGAAGCACTTTATAGCCACGGGTCCCACTTCTACATCCATTCTGAGAAACTGGGATTCATCATCATCATCATCAACAGCCTATACTAGTCCACTGCTGGACATAGGCCTCTCCTTAGAAAGGAGGCCATTGGAAACTGGAATTATTAATGTGTAATTTTGAATCTCAGAATAGTTGCTAGAAGTTTATACATGGTTGGTAAACATGTGATAAATCAAAAAAATTTGGGATCCATCAAACTAAAAGACTTTTAGAAAAAGTGGGTTATGCCAGTAGTTAGAAATTTCGGTAATGAACCTGAATTAAATGCTGCCTGAAAATGAGATGCCAAACACGCATGTGAGCTTCGGAAAAGTTATGTACTCCGTCTGGACAAGGTGATTTCCAATTCGGTGCTGAACGAACTGCACAGCTTATATCTCATATATCCTATCATCTTTATCAATAAACAGGTTCCATGGGTCTTATAGACACACATGAGCGTCTGACATCTCGCAACCAATCACCTTCTATGTATATGAGCGACAGGCACCGACCAGAGGTTACGCCAAAATGTATTTGTAACATTTTCATCTGGCTTATGCTCATCACTAACACATGGATCCGATTCCTCCCATTTCTGGTTCACCCACTTCTCATTTCCATCCGTTTTTTATACCGTCTTATCCTATTTTCCAATGCATACATTTTCTGCTTTAGAAAGTCTACAGGCTCTGTGACACATGAGATGAGTGACACATGAGATGATGAGGACTAATGGTTGTCTCCAAGAATGCCTGTTTCACAAACGAAACAGGCATTCTTGGAGACAACCATTAGTCCTCAACAGTACATCTCATGTGTCACAGAGCCCATAGACTTTCACGTTTGATCGTCATCACTCTCAGGCGCGTATTCTCAGATCGAAAGCTAATTAGCTTACCTATTAGTGTCCTGGTCCTCTAGTGAGATGTCAAAATATAGGTCGGTGTACACGTAAAGCAAGTCGAGTTTACAATCTAAGATATAATAAGACTAAAGAAGAGCGTAGGCAGCGTTGAGAGGCAAACAGAATGAGAATTTGTCAAGCGAGATCTTTTTTTTTTTTTTACCACATACACACAACGCCATCTAGTCCCAAACTAAGCAGAGCTTGTACTATGGGTACTAGACAACTGATATAAATACATATATACTTTTTTTTGTAAATACATACATATTATACATAGAAACACCCAGACCAAATCAATCATCAAATGTTCATGCACACAAATGTTTGACTTGAGCGGGAATCGAACCCGCGACCTTTGGAATAGCAGTCCGTTACACAAACCACTACGCCATCCAGTCGTCAGATCTACCACGACTCCGGAAGAACTTACACCATCGACTTCAAGAGAGGGGCAACAAAACAGACGATCAAACGTAAAAATTACCTATGAACGTTTGGCGTTTAGATGTAATACAACAGTCGATTATCGGTTGATTTTGGTGCAATGAGCAATGTTTGTCAATATTACATTGCTTTAAGGTTTCGACTTGAATCGCCAGGATTATGTTGTGCGAATGGAAAAATCAAATTACCACAACTGACGACGCCACCTGAACCAAAATTCATTACTTTCAGGACAAGAACCTATATCAAAGAACCTGAACATTCCTTGCAGAATATTCAAAATTAGAATAGTGCGTTCGAAATGACATAATTTGCTGCAAATATAATTAAAGAACGTGGTTTTAATCCAACTTTTAAGGTATTTTTTGTTTACTATGTGACACATTATATAAACCTACATATACGAAAATTCTATTGAGAATATTTCTTTATATATTTCCTTATATTCAATATAACAGATTTAAGGACAAATTCACCATCATGTAGGAGCATTGTTGCCATTACTTGATGGTAATTACAAGTTTCTCCAATTTTCTTTCCTAGGCAATTCTGAAGTTGAAGTAAACCAACGCTGTGCTATCGATCGTTTGGGCAGGAGAGAGATCATCATACAGCTGCAACAACTCTTGCATGAGCATAATCAGTTAATTCGTAATGACTATTAATAAATCCCAAGGCCAATCGTTAGAAGCGTGTGGAATAAACCTTGAATTACCGTGTTGTTCGCATTGGCAGTTGTATGTTGCGTGCTTAAGAGTCGGCAAACCATCGCCACTATTTGTTTTTTTTCTACAGAAGGAAAAACGAAAATATTATACATTAGAAAAGGTTAAGGTCGAATTATTATTTTTTACAATTTTATTTAATTACATGGTCGTATTGTAAACGGAAGATTTTATCTATTTTTTTTAATTAAGCACGTAATGTGTAACATTGCCGGTACTTATTAATTTGACGGGTTAATAACTTTCGATAATCTAATGTCAATATATGGAATTATTGATAATCCAACTTATTTGAATTTACCGGAAGTGTGACATTTCTTTAATCCGCGACTGTACACTGCCCGTTTGATGCCGAGGCGGGCATAAATAGTGAAATTAGGTAACATTTCAGGAATTTCGAAAGTATTCACGAAAACAAAAATATGGCGGTAGGAAGTTCGCCGGATCAGCTAGTTTATAAATAAAACCTTCTCAAACATGAAACGAATCATCCCACAATAGCAGCGCGTGAATGTGATTTGTCTGTTCAATCTCAAAATCCCATCGTTCTCTTACACCATTGATTGGAACAAAGGCACCTGTTTTTTCACATGGGTTGATGAAATAAAGAAATAATGAGCAGAAATTATTAAATAGAACTCAGCATATATGAAATATCTTTTTTGTTAATTTGATGACCAAAATAATATTTTATAAAAATAGATACGAGTATAATAATAAATCCATTTGAATGAACGTCACCAGTTACTATGAACCACATAACAAAAAATTCCTTAAGAGTTATGTAGTAACAATTAAGGATTTTTTTGTTACTTTGAAAAACTTGAAGAGAAGGAATGGAGCGGAGTGCTAAAAGGTGTGGATGTGAACGTCGGACTGGTGAACTAGATTCGTGTAAATGAAATGAGGTTGGCAGGACAAAGTATGAAAAATGGAAAAGCAGTGGGTCCCGACGGTATGCCAGTGGAAGCTACTGAAAGAAGACAGATATGAGTGGCTGACTCTATTCCTCAATATGTTGTTGCTTAAAGAGGTAATCCCAAAGGAATGGTGTCAAACCAATCGTACCCAACCCAAAGGAGATGTTCAGGAATGCAATAACTATCGAAGAATAAAGTTCATGTCACATACTATCAAAGTCTGGAAGAAAGTGATTGAAAGAAGAATAAGAGATGAGAGTCAGATAACCCAAAATCAATTTGGATTTATGACAGGACGCGGGACAACAGATGCCATATTTGCAATGCGCCAACTATATAAGAAATGCATATGGTTTATGTGAACCTCAAAAAAGCATATGATAGGATACCCCGAGAGGTTTCGTGGTGGGCTTTGAAAGAATAAAGAGTGCCTGTCAAATATGTAGAATTGATGCGTGCTATGTACAGAGAGGTCACTCAAGTAAGGTCGGTCACGGGAAACATTGATTAATTCAATGTCTCTGTATAATTGCACCAAGGATCGGCTCTAAGGACATACAGGAGGATGCATCTTGGTGCATGCTGTTTGCAGATGATATTGTGTTGGTCGATGAAGACGAGGGTGAGGTCCAGAGCAGACTGGAAAAATGACAACAAAGGCTGGAGAATGTTGGCTTGAAAATCAGCAGAACGAAAACTGAGTACATTTTCTGTGATTTCGGCGGTCTTTCCAGTCCTGAAAGCATTTCGCTGTATAGGATAGCGATAACAGTCTGCTCTAATTTCAAGTACCTTGGCTAACTCTTACAATCAATATGGAATGGATGACGTGGCGGAAGGTAACAGAAACAATCTGTGACCCTAGTTTCCCCTTAACATTGAAAAAAGAAATGTGTAAAACTATCATCAGACCTGCCGTACTGTATGGTTCTAAAAGTTGATCCATTAAAAGAACGGATGAGAGACGCCTGAACGTAGCCGAAATACGAATGCTGAGATGGATGTTTGGTGTGACTCGGACGGACAATGTTAGAAATGAGTACATACGAAGGTGTCTGAAAGTAGTGCCACAGGATGAAAAGTTAAGAAGTAATACGGTTATCTTGGTATGGACATGTCATGCGGAGGGATGAAGAAAATGTGGCCATAAAAATTCTAGGTATAAGAGTTGAAGGGTACAAGAGAAGAGGAATGCCAAAGAAAAGGTGGATGGACGGTGTGAAAGAGGATATGGCTAGGAAGGGAGTTAACGATGAGATGACGAATGATACAGTAGAATGGAAGAATCCTACATACTGCGCCGACCCCAAATAAAATTGAGATAAGGGTAGGCAGATGATAATAAATGCTCTACAGAATTGCCTGATGTGAATAAATAGATAATATTAAATATAATTTAACATGCTTTATAATACAATAATCCTTTGTTTTAAATAAACACAAACAGAATTCAGAGAGGCCTATGTCCTGCAGTGGATTAGTAAAGGCTGTTGATGAAACAGAATTCAAAATCGAAAAATATTAAAATATTGTTATTGTAAGTAATTTTTATAATTAAATTTTCATTAATTACTGTTGTTTAAAAGTTTCTTTTTGAAAATGTTCAGAAAAAATTTCTTGTTTTTTTTAAATAAAGGGTTTTCGCAGATATTATTATATATTACAATATCTCAAAAGGTGCCTTTGTCGTTTTAAATCTCTTTTTAGAGTTCCGTACCTCAAATGGTAAAAAGGGTACCCTTATAAGATCACTTTCTTGTCCATCTGTCCGTGTGTCACCACCGATTTTCTCAGGAACGGGTAGACCTAGCAAGTTGAAATTTATAGCAGATACTGAGGTCTATGGTCCCTATTAGGTGTATAAATATCAAGGTCCTGAGTCAACAGGTTAAAAGATATGGGCAAATTTCGATTTTCACGAAAAGGTGAAAATTAAGAAAAATTTAGGTACTTACAAATTTTCGCGAAAATCTACGTAAAATCTGGGTACGTATGGAACCCTCAGCGCACGAGTTCGACTCGTACCTGACCGGTTTTTGTCATGGTACAGGGGACAGGTGACCAGGCGGGTCACCTGATGGTAAAATAGCTAGCCCCGCCTTTGGATGAGAGGCAATCAAAGGGTGGCAAAACTTGAGCCACAGGGGGTTGGATTCCGGTAAACTTGGTAACTCGGTGAAAAGCAAGAAGACATCAAGATACACTTAACATCAATTTGCTGTAAGGCCGAAGTCTTACTCCGTCTAGTTGGAACCATATAAAACAAAGCATGACTCTCCTACGGTGAATACGAGTAGAATTGAACACTAGCATCTTTCATGTATTTGCCAACCTCATTGTCATACATATGTTTGGCAAATACATTTTTTAATCACTGATCTACTCCTAAAAGCAAATAATTTGAAACAGAAAGGATGTATCTGAAATAATGTATTAGAGTTATCGGACAAATTGAAAATCATGACAGTTGTAGGCCCTACTTATCAAATAAAAACCTTCACACTACCATCATTATACATATTTGACATTTGCATATTTGTATCCAAGAACATGAATCACTTCACAAGAGTAAAAGACAATTAAAATTTCAATACATGCCATAGAAACAGGTCTGTTTCTGTGGCATGTATATATACCTTCCACCAAAAAAATTGAAATGCTGTAAAAATAACAATAAAGTACCTATCCACACAAAAATGGAAACTAAGATTACACTATTCATAAAAAAACTAAAAGCATTCTTAATAGCAAAATGATTATTTCAGTACATACGTATATACATTCAGTATTACGTTATAGTAAAGAATACATTGTAGCAAAACACACTTAACAAATCACATATCGACGCCCCCAAAGAATAAATCTGTATTAACTATTGCTGACTTCTGACTGTTTTAACATTTTTGTTTTCTATGGGCCGGGATACATGTATGTATGTTTTTTTCTACCGTAATTTCCCACAATTTTCCTTATAAATTTTTTGTTTTTCGTAAATTATCTATTTTGATTTACTAGATAAATAACGAAATACATTATAACAATTAAGGTAGTAAGGTAATTACTGTAAAATATTTGAGCAAAATTCCTGGTTAACGCGATTACAGGTTTAGTATCGTGAATTTTTAGATATACATTTTCTATCTATCACTATATTTGACCTGCAAAAAGTGTTAAGTATTCCGAAATCTACTGTATCTACTTTATAATGAAAAATACAACAATTTTACAATATTTGACGCTCTACATAAAAAAGGATATTGCTACGTGTGGCATTACCAAATCGCAGAACGAGGCTGCATAGAAATTGGGAGTTGTTTGTTGCAATTTATGAAGAGTGAACAGAAGCGAGGTATTATAAAGATATACCTTTATTCGGATGTTAGTTATGGCCAAAAAATGTACCTGTTCTTATAACAGGTACATTTTGGCCCTATATGCAATAACATGGCAGCTGTCTTTAAATTTGTCTATAACGCACAGATTTTTCGAGACTGGACATAGCCAAAACGAGGGAGACTCAATGCATGCATGTATTGAAAGAAACATGACAAACAAGTTTATTTATACACCTGAGCAAATATTTAGTATAATTCTAAACTTCAAAGTCTCAATAACACACTATGAAAGGATTGAAACAAACAGATATTTTAGACATACTTTTTTTAAATAAATCCTTTGAATTGGCGTCGCGATAAGATGGAAATACAATACGCTTCTCAGTATTCTCTCTCAATTTTGCAATGACTGGAAAAGGCTACTAAGTTAAGACTAATTATTATTATGAGACCAATTATGTCCACTTGGTTGGCAAAAAAAAAAAGATTGATTGATTGAATGTAACGTATTTCTTGATTAAACATGCCATCTTCATTGAGTAGTTTTAGACAATAAACCGTATGTTACTTTGGAAATAATCTAACTTAATATAAAAACATAGATTTTTTGTTTCCATGTTCATTTAAAGATTTTTTGTGACAATTATTTTGCTTAATTTTGTAAATTATCTTTAGACCTGATATATCTAATATTAATGCGCATGTTGCCGACTGCCGCCTGAAAAACTTTTGTATTGAATGTCTAGTGAAGTCATCTGTAAGACATTTCATAGCTTATTCAAATTATACTTCTTTAGATTCATGAAGATGGCAACCCACTCATTTTGGACATTTAAACACAGTATACAGACATACAGTAAACATTTATACGTTTTACAAAGTATGGCAGTAAGTAAATAAATAAATACCTCGTGAACTTTAACAAATATATTAAAAAAATACATACATGTACGTAATAATATGCCTCATCAAAAGCCTTTAATAGGCCACTGCTGGACATAGACTATAATATTGTACCACATTCCCAAACTAAACAGAGCTTGTACTATGTGTACTAGACAATTAATATAAATTTATTTGTACTTTTTTTGTAAATACATACATATTATACATGATTGTACAAATTCAAATTACTTTATTGTAAAAATGGGTAATATCAATATTAGTATAATTAATAATAACATATTTTAGGAATATAATTATAACATTGTCCACATTTAATTATATACAGTATATTAACTATAGGACTAATTGCTATTTAATAGCTGTATAGTATTCTATCCTTGGAGAAATATATGAATTATAAGGGATGAAAATTATGTAAATATAAATCATCAAAGCCACACGCCATCATCAAAGTAATGTCTTACTTATGCATTCTACAGTATATTTTAATGTTATTTATACGCCAATAGAAAAACAACTTGAATGAAAAATAATGTGGCATGTCCTAATTAAATAAATAGCACCATTTGACGAGAATCCTAGTAAAACAACAATGTAATGATTCACATCTTTCAATCAATTACACAACTCGTTTTATTTTTACCTCCAAGTTCTCCAAGCCCACATAATGAAAAACCTTGTAGATTGGCCCACTTTGATAAAATTCTATATTAACCTATGAATATTGTTATCTCATCTATTCGGTTGTTGTCATATGAGCAATACAAAAATAGTTGGTTAAGTTTACATAAATTTGAAATATGTTTTTGTATAAAATAGTTCAAATTTGTCTTTGAAAAGATAAAATTACTATCTGAAGAGGCGCACTTTCTACATACTACGTCATGTTAACTTTTAACTTACCCTTAGTTTTAGAATTTTATTAATGTAATAAAATGAAAAAAAAAAAAGAATTTATTCAGTTCAATATTTTGTTATGATATTTTAAATATATAAAAATGTTAAGTTGGTTAGTGTACGCTTCAAAATCTCATAAAGGTTTGCGCAAATTGAGCTCTAACAACCCGATTGAAAGGTTTTTTTATCTATTTTTCTCTATTTCTCACTATTGCAACCGTAATGTGCCACAGCGAAGCGTTACAGCTATTAATATATATATAAAATAACAATTAAGCTTTGAATTTTGATGTATGGGTTGCGTTGAGTTGATACTCATTTGTGAAGTAGGTACTTTGTGAAATATGTTTCGTTTTGTGATCAGTCGCAAGAACAAAATACATATAGATATGTTTGAACTATGATAGTAAGTAATGTACATATCTGAATTGAAAATGCAGAAATAATTACTTTAACGATTGTCGTGTTCCAATGAGCATGGTTTTCAAAGTAAATTGAGCTCTTGACCGCAGTACAAAATGTTGGGCACGTTATTCTGTTAACAGTTTGTAGTGATTGTGATTGTGTAGATGACGATGATCTATAAACATTTACCAGCGACAACCGCAAATAGAAGCAATCATCATTAAATAGAGTAGGGCCCGCATCACCTTGCTTTCGACGTTGATATTGCTTCTATGAAGCGTTCCAAGTGTAACAGCGTAGCATCTTCGAGTAAAGCAACGTTTGTGCAAACAGATCGCTTTGGCAAATCGCAATGAAACTGGCCAATGGGTGAAGGTGTTTGGGTGCCAAAAGCCACAATATTATAGCCGGCTTTCGCGACATATTTAAAACTCAATGGTATTGTTTTTTTTCCATGAGAGAACTATACTTTGGCACATATGGGCCTACCCGCGCAGCGATATTTGCTTACCTTTCCTTACCAATAACATAAAAAAGCTAACATTCTCTGTGATCATTTTCCGTTTTATCAGTCAAGTTTCAAGTTAAATTCATCAGTCTCAAATTAAGTTATTTGAAATATAAATCTGTTTTTTTAATACTTAGATCCCTTTTCTATGTACGTAATCGTATCCTTATCCTATACGAAGTTAAAATATCATACTTTTGAGTAACACATAATATACTTCTGTTTATATAATAAAGGTATAATGAATTGTAAATTTATGTCTCTTTTAACAAACAAAGCAGTGGAAGAAACCTGTTATTTACCTGCATGTTACGGTTAAACTTTAATGTTAAATAATTTATCTAAAAGACACGAACATAATCCGCCTCCGGTATAATTAAAAACATACTCTCAGAAGTATCTCCGCTTACTTGGCTTTACAGACGATAATTATAAATTTTTATTTTTATTGACCAGAATATAATCAAATATAGATTTTAGTAACATTATGTAGTTGGATGGTTAGTGCTCTTATGGAAAGGCCTTTGTTCAGCAGTGGACGGCAATAGACTGAAGTAAGTAGTTACAACATATTATTGTTAAGTCACTCATGGCTAGAAATATTAATATCTATTCACCTTTTAATGATACAAGGGGCAAACGATTACCTGATGGATAGTAACTACCACCCATGAATGCATGCAACTCAACTTGACTTGAGATTCTCCATTAAATAATACCACAGTAAAGTATTAAGATTACCTAAGCATAATATGCAATGGTCGGTGCCTAAATAATGTTGGTTTGTGATATTCTTTTAAAATATACACTAATATAATATAATTTTTCTAAGCAGCTTTACACGGCATATAAAGTTCGTTTGTTAATCACGTAGAGCTCTCGGTCTTGGCATTCCAATGGCTGTTACCGATATGATTAGCGCGTGGCCTTGGTAACTAAACTGAAGGTCTTGCAAAAAAACTGTATAATTGTACGCAGAGTCAACAACTAGATGAATATATATTACCGTTTATGTATCGACCAGTGGAACATGACCAACGTTACCTGATTCTCAATCTCTAATTCATAATCGTTACTGCCTTTTATGACCTAATCTATTTAACGTGTTTTCCTACTTCAAGACAAGTGTATTTATTTAAAGTCTCATTTAATGTTTTAGTTGCCACGTATTAAGTTTTAGTCAATGTGTCGTCATGTAATAAAACAATGTGGCTGTTTACTTGTATGAAATTGTGAATAATGTTGATAATACTGTTATGGTTTGGTGTCTTGTGTAGTTTAATTTATTTAGTGATTAAAAATGTCGTGGTGAGTTACTAAGACAAAATGCTGATCAGTGTTAGTCTTTCACTTTTATTATTTCATTTATTTGAATAATTTAAATAGAACAGTAGCTTATGATAGACGCACTGTCATTAGCAAATAAAATGCTAAAGTTCGTGTTTTAATTTGCCTATTACTGCCGTTCACATTGTCAACTCGACTGTTTGACTTGCACGCATATGTTCTAATATTGATTGTTTAATGGGTCATGGCTCCTGGGAGCGTAATTTTTACTATTCACACACAACAGAGATAATTCAATAAATGAAATATTTACCAAATTAACCAAATAGTGCATTTTTGCCGAGATGTATGAGACTTTGAAATAATTAGTATGTCAAGCTACCTTGAATGATATTTTTAAATTTAATTGGCAAATAATTTATCAGTAGAAGTACCAGCTACAGGCTTGATGAAAACATTTATAATTTGTAGTATTGTTTATATAACAATAACAAAATAAAATAATAACTTCTACTGCTAACTTTTATTATTATTTTTCAAATGTCCACTCATTTTCAATCCTTTTTTTGTGAAATAGTTACAATACACCTTGTGAGATACCGACTACGGGACGATTTCCCAATACTTTTGCCTCTGCTGTACAGTTTTTTGCAGCTAGTCAGTGCTTCCTTACAGAAGGAATTTTGAAAGATGAAAATATTCCAAGTGAGTATTAAGTTTGTTTAACCAGTTCATTTTTATTATTTTTAATTACATTAGATTATATGTTAATAATATTTTTGTAAAGTGAGGTTGACATGATGACGACGGTCTTAATATGCATAATTATATAATATTCTTCAAGGTGACTTTGTAATTAATAGCCGCTAAATTATTGCGTTGGTTAATTATATCATAAGCGTTCTCCGTGTTATATCCGAAGATGTATAAGGTATGCTCATATGCATGAGGACAATGTAGTGGTCTTCACACTGAGATAAATTATTATAGATAGTATGACAGTAAGGCAACGTTTAAAAATACACTTTAATGTAATTATATGGTAGACACGGAATATATTGGACATTTCAGGGTTCTTATCTTTGAATGGGAAAAAGGAATTATTATGATCAGTTTTTCGGTTTATCTCTGTTCTCTCTGTTTCTTTGCCTGTAAAAAAAGGACAAAATGAAAAAAAAATGTCAAAAAGAATGTTAATCGCTTCCCGACATCGGACAAACTATCTACTTACAAGTTTGTACAGAACCCTCGGTGTGCAAATCATGATTATGACTGGCTTTGCAATAAATTTTAGACGAACCTTGTGGAAAACAGTAACTGCCGGTTTGCTACTGACGTATTCTAAAACCCATGTTCAAGCTTTTTCATGATAATTAAATAGATGTTATATTATTATCATCAGATCAAATATGCCTTTTAAAATATGGTTCGATTCAATTGGTCAAACCAAATGTTTGTATGATCTGCAAATATTTGTTTCGGTGTTTTTTTAGTATAATATGTATGTATTTACAAACAAATATATGTAAGTATTCTATCAGTCAATCTAGCCATCATAGTACAAGCCCTGCTCAGTTTGAAACTAGATGCCGTTGTGTGTCTGACGTCCCAATGGCGATATTTTTATACATATATATTATTGGATGCCAATGAAAACTCGTATTTTGATCTATTATGTGCAAAAGCATATTATTACAGTTCAAGTTATACTGATCAATGAAGTAAAATCAGTCATTCAAAATATATTAATTAATAATATTCCAAATACAAATTCGGCTGGTAAAACTATTACTTCAAGACCAACCAAAACATCAAATTTAACAGCCCTTATAGCCAGTAGTAGTTATTGAGAAACTTGATAAATGAAATTACTTAAGCTGGAGCCGAAAAATCATCCTATTTCATTAATCTTTTGATTGTAATTGGTTCTTAAACCTTCTGCCGTAAACTCCTACAGTAAAAATATCTAACTATACAAAGTACAATTCCTGATTCTAATGAACGTATTTAAACATTTACAGGTTATACAAAATTTGATTTTATAATAGTAGGAGCCGGATCAGCAGGAAGCGTACTAGCAAATAGATTGAGCGAAATAAACGAATGGAAAATTCTACTCTTAGAAGCTGGAGACGACCCTCCTATAGAAGCCAATGTTAGTACCACCATTTAAATTTGATACATATTTCATACAAAAAATGAAATTCTATGAAATAAGCAATTAATTCTTATAATAATATGATAAATAGAGAAAGTTTATCATCAATTAATCTCCTTTTTCTAGCATCGACTGCCTACATATTTTGCAAAACATTTAAATATACATGTAAATTTAACCCAATTAAATTATATGTTTTAATTTTAGATTCCAGCATTAGCAAAAAGCATGCGCAGGACAAAATATGATTGGCAATACTTTACTACAAGTGATGGAGAAATAGATCAAGCCATTATAAACAATTCTTTAAATTGGCCAAGAGGTAAAATGTTAGGAGGCTCTAGTAATCTCAATGCAATGGTTTATATAGAAGGTAATGACCAAGATTATCAAAGTTGGTATGATGCTGGTAATTTAGAATGGAGTGTACAGGATGTTCGACGGTGCTTTAAAAAAGGACAAAGCTACCAAAACCAGCGTTTGCTCCAAAATCCAAGAATTTACGAACATTATGGCCACACCGGTCCGCTATTAATCAATACTTTTAATAGCACATATAGAATTGTGACGAAAAAAATTCTTAAATCTTGGGATGATATTGGAATTAAGAATGTGCCTGACTTGAATACTGCAAACGTTTTAGGATCAGGTATAACATCAGTAACAGCTGCAAATGGAGAAAGACAAAGCTCGAATAAAGCATATTTAAATCCTGTGCTTCATAGAAAAAACTTAAAGGTACTGAAAAATTGTTTTGTTACAAAGGTTTTAATAAGGCGCTCATCAAAAGTAGCTTACGGCGTTGAGGTACAACGTGGCTTAAAGCGTTATACATATTTGGCCACTAAGGAAGTGATCATAAGTGCAGGTGCCATAAATTCACCTCAACTATTAATGTTGTCAGGAGTAGGTAACAGAGATTACCTTGCTGCAAAGAAAATTGAGCATATAGTTCATGCGCCAATGGTAGGACAAAATCTACAAGATCATAGTTTTATATTTATTCCACTTTTTAACAATGAATCCAATCCTGAAACTATTGAGGATCAAAATTTCGACGTCATAAAGTATATCTACAACCGAACGGGTTATTTAGCACAAGGCGGGATTTCTGATATTTTGGCATTTTTTTCAGCCGATCAGATGGCTTCTTATCCGGACTATGAAAGTCATTTTATTGTTTTTTGGCAAAATGATCCAAATTTTCCCAGCGTATTGAAGAAGGTATTTAGATTTAAAGACACGGTCGCGAAGCCCCTAATAAATCTTAATAAGAACTATACATGTTTTCTCTTTCCCTTTAATTTATTGCATCCAAAATCAAGAGGAAACATTACTTTACGTTCAAAAAATCCTAAAGATCACCCATTTATTTACCCTAATTATTTTAAAAACCGCTTAGATTTGGAGTCAATTGTTACTGGTATTAAACACATTACAAAAGTATTAGAAACGGAGTACTTCAAGTCAATTGGTGCATTTTTAGCCAGAATGCAATGGCCCCCTTGTAATGAGTTTGAATTAGATAGCAGAGACTATTGGAAGTGTGTTTGTTTAAGTACGGTGCAAACTGTGTACCATCCAGTAGGAACATGTGGTATGGGAACTGATTCAAAAACTTCAGTTGTGGATAGTCGGCTAAAAGTGCATGGTGTGAAAAATCTACGAGTCATCGACGCAAGTATAATGCCAACCATTACAAGCGGTAACACCAATGGACCATCAATGATGATCGGCGAAAGAGGTGCAGAGTTAGTAAAACAAGACTATAATAAATAAAAAAATGGGCGTCATAACGCTTTGGATAGTCATTGACATTGATATCATTAAACAGGTGGTGGTATTTTAAAAAAAAGTAACAAAATACTTCAAGAAGTGTGTTCTAACATATGATATAGTTATATGATGAAGATGAATAGAGCCGTGATTTGTCATAGCTAAGTATAATATAGTTATACTTAGCTATGACAAATCAGCATATATACAAATAGCATAACATTATAATAGTCTGATACAGTCTTAGCTTTCGCTTTTTTGTTATGTCATATATATTTATTAAAAACTTAGGTGTCCCCACCAAATAATAGGATAATCAATAAAAAAACAAGTTTGATCAAAAAAAATAAGTGATTTGCGTTTATATCTTGCTTCTATATAAGTTCATACACCAAAAAGAATGTAATTTTAGGGGTAGTGAAAATTATAAATTTATTCTGTATTTTACTTTATAATTTAGAAATTGTGACTAGCCTGTTAGTCTAGTGGTTAATAATCTTGACTGTTCAGCCAAAGGTCGTGGGTTTGATTTCCACCCAATGCAAATAATTGTGTGATGAGCACGATATTTTTTTTGTATCTGGTTGTAATTTATCTATAATATAATATAAATGTATGTTTATCAGCAGTCTGGCTCTGCCTAAATTTGGATCAGAAAAGTTGTTATTAATTTATTGCTTAAATAAAGCTTTAAATATGATAAAAGTTGTATTTTTAATAAATAATGTGAACTACAAGAAGTATCGTTGTGGAAATCATTATTTTTGCTAATAAATCAAATATGACTATGAATGACAGTTGGATAAAGAGGTGGTGGTAAGACTATGAGGTATAAAAATTTACATAAAAACTTTCACTACTATTGTTTTTATAAAATGCACTAATTTCATTTATTGTACAGTAGTTTACATTTTTGATAGTATGCAAGACATCGTTGCTGTTAAATACAACAGAAAGATAAAAACATTTTTATTTTATTTCATCAAGTAACTTTATCTGTACTAATTTCCTTCCGTCCTTTCCTTATTGACGAAGTTAATTAACCTCCCTTTTGTTATCAAACTCATTTTCATAAATGATATTCAATAAGCCATAAATGGCTCGTTAAATAAATTCTACACGCTCATTATTTATAGAGCTGTTTCTTGCAAACTTGCAAGTTTAAATAGTTACGCAAATACTTTAAATTTGGAGCAAAAATTAATTGTTTTTTTTTACTAAAAAAACAATAATAGAATATTCAAATATCTTTTGGATACTTTATTACCGCAAAAATTTTACATTGTAATCCTGGAATAAGTCAACTCTTATTTATTATATCTGTCTCTCTGAAATAGTTACCTGTATATATCTTAAGTCAGAAATCTCAAACCCATATTCTGTCATTACTTGACTTTTTTGATGAATTAACAATTCCTGCTGTATTGTAATGTAATTTTATGTTTTTGAAAACATACAGATACCTATAGATAGGTAATTATTTCACAAAACCTAAATTTCTCAAGAAGCTTTTAACTTTCTTAAAAGCCGTTATCATTGAAAAACTTTGGCTTGCTAGATGCCTATCAATATTTTTTTCAATTATTCTATTCTTTATTATCTGTAAAAATATCACAAAGACCAGCCATAGCCATAAGACCTAAACTTTTCCAGGATGTATAATTTAGTGGACTTACTTATGTCTGTCAAGGTTGCAGGATAAAATAAAATATAAAAGGAAATTCTGTTTTCCTATTTATTTCATCAACAAAAGAGAAACAATAAAGTTTATTGAGTCCAAACATGTAAAAAGCCTTGGAGATCCACAAAACACTCGGCTTAATAAACAAAACGCAAATAATCCTTTATGCCCCACATTTGGAGAGTAACAACTATTTACAGAACATAGCATATTTTCTTGAGACCACAATAATACCAACCCACATACAAAGTTACCCTTTTTTGGGACCTTCCTATCTTGACCCTTTATTGACATAGAAAACGGGAAGCTTTTTCATGATTGCGGTCCCGGATGTAAAGTATTTGTTTAACCATGGGAGAAATAGTTCTTTATTGTCTTTTTTTCTGTAAGCACTTAAGCAAAGAGGACAATAGTCGGTATATCACTAGCGTAAGCATTTAATGATATTTGATCCAGATATGAGAGAACTTTTGTTTTATATTTATCTAAGGGAGATTGAAAGTTTTGTTCTCGTTAACATTTTAGTAAATCTATGATAGTGAAGTAGTACCTGACTGTGTATATGGATAATTATATGTACGAGTATGTAGTAATATATTATACCTAAGTTAGATTTATCTGAAATTAATTCTATTTTATCTTGCACCTTATTCATCATATTTCTACATCACCCGAAGGCGACTGGGAGTGAATGCCATTGGCATTAAGTCCACCAGTGTACAACTTGTGCATTAGCTAGTAATCGTAAAAGAACATTTTAGTGATAGACAACTATTTATTGTTATCACAGTTATTTATTTGGCAATCAACGGACTAAAGGTAACTAACATGCTAACTTAGTTAATATGAACAGGGCCAGTGCAATCTTACGATACGTTAGCCAGTTCAAAGGTTTTTATTACTTATTGATCACTTAATTGTCGTCCGTATACATAATTATATGTTTATACATTTGATATGGAACGCAAAAATTTAAAACTTAACACAGAAGTAGATACAAGGATCAAAATTCATTTGGTCTAAGAAAGGTTAAATGCTTCTGTAATATTGAAATCCCGAAATCTACAAATTTTGTAGCGTATTGTGTGTATTGATAAGTGCAAAGCAATATTAATAATAAATTAAAATTTATTCCTGTTCCTGTCCCATCGCTATTGAGAATTTTGTGATATTCTCAATAGCGAATCCATGATATCCATGTCAGTACGACGATATCAGTCTCATGTATAGTTGCAGCTCCTGAGGACTAAATAATAGTCTACTTGTTTAAACACATTAGATAAAGAGAGTGTAGTGCTACATGTCGTCGTCTACTGTCATGACGGTAATAGCTCATCAAAAAATATAAACAAATTTCAATAATAACGTTTATAACAACCAGCTTTTTACTAGAACACTCGATAATGTTTTTAGAAATTTCTCTATTCAGTCACTTGAACAGACCAAGTGACAAAACTAGCGGTCAAAGTTTTTCGTTGCGCTTCTAAATCGTTCCACCTTTTGAGGCGTTTGCACATAATTTTTGATATGTGTTATCTTTGATAAAATATTAAACTGCTAGATTTCCTTTCACAGCAGCTGTCAAATAGCAATATCATCTTTTTTAATTGGCCAAAGACAACCGACATCTAAATACGCTAAATCATCGGTATACAGTTACCTTGGAAAGCAGATCGTTTGCAATTTCAATTTGCAGTCTGTCACACTATGCTAATTTAACTAGGCCGCATTTAAAATAATAAATTATCACGGCGCAAATATATTCTCTAGATAGTTTTTTTTTTCAGTAAAATGCGATGATTACATTGATTGTGCTTTATCCATTAATTTATTTTCTTTTGTCAGTTTCTTGATAACGTAATTGGATGTAAAAACGTAAGCAGTTACCATAACACGTTAATGAAATAGGTTTTAATAGTTAATTTTTACTCTTTATTACCGTTCATTATCTCTATGACATGTTTTTATATATACAAAAAGAAAATATATATATGGCGAGTGTATAGTTTGAATTAAAATGTAGAGGTAAATAAGAATAAAAAAATTATAACTTTCGTATTTTATGTCGTAAATTAGCTTGTTCTTAAAATAAAGTGTAATCTACTCATATATGCAACAAATTATTTTAAGATGTATATTATTTAAAATAATTTTAAAACAAAAAGCTATTTACTAGGAGTACTAGTTTAATTGTAAAATGAAAAAAAATGATAAAATTGTCACAAAAATATGAAATATACAAAAACAAACTGAAAAAAATTTTGAACCCTTGTACTTTTACAGTTTGTTAAAACAAATCCAACATAATTTGGACTTAAATTTTAGTTTTAGTAGCACTTTATCCTCCCTGTATGCTTTCATATACTTTATATTTGTATACATATCTGTAGAATATTCTTTCATCTGAAGTTACAATGATAGATAAATCTTCATATCTAAATATCTTGCACCGTTCTAATTTTGTTACAGTTCAAACTTTTCGTAATTTCTTTGGATGGGTATCTATGCGCACAATCTCATCTTCAAGAAAACTTTAATCAGATGCGTGTGAAAAATGGTGACTATTTGTACACGTCACCGCAAAGCCAACAGCCAAACTTTTTTACATTCCGTGCCATACAACCTTATCCCACTGTTTAAAATACGGTTAAATTGTTCAGACAATAATTAAATATAACTGCTTTTTAAATTCAATTTAACCGCAAATACGGTTTAAAATATCTACACTAGGAAATCCAGCGATATAAGAATATTGATTCAATGATCGCCAGAATAGGGAATATTGGTTTGTTTACATATTAGGGACAACTTTTAGTACAGTATGTGATGTTATATGTTGAAACAATTATATAAAATAAGTACATTAAAAATGTGTAGCTGAAATCAATGAAATGAAATGAAAAGATCTTTTCCAATAAAATAATCTTCTATTTTATTATATGACGTACGACGTGAACCGCTAAACTAGTTAGCCAGTGACAACACCACTACTTTCAACATCAGACAGTGCAGAAATATGTAATACCTCCTGATCTCGTTACTTCACTTATAGGTAATGCATCATGATCATCATCATCATCTTACTATTGCATCATGGAGCAAGCTAGCGTAAAAGTGATTGCTAAATCAGAGAACTTATAGTAACTACATAGTTAAGTTATGAAGTCAGTTATCCACTTCATTACACATCATCATCACATCAACAGCTTTTAGTAGTCCACTGCTGGACATAGGCCTCTCCTTAGAAAGAAGGTTTAGGTTATCCACTTAAACGAGTTTATATTTTTTTCAACTTCATGTTTTACTTTTAAAAACTGTGCTT